GCGGTATCAGTAACTTTGGGAGGCCGAGACGGGTGGGGATCATGAGGTAGGAGATCGAGACCATCCTGGCTACACGGTGAAACCCATCTCTAATACTACTAAAAATATACAAAAAAACTTAGCCGGGGCGAGGTGGTGGGTCGCCTGTAGTCCAGTCTCTCGGAGAGCTGAGGCAGGAGAAATGGTGGAACCCGGGAGCGGAGCTTGCGAATTAGCTGAGATCCGGCATTTACATCCAGCCTGGGTTGACAGGCGGACTCCGTTCTCAAAAAAAAAAAAAAGAAAAACAGGTTCTGGTGAAGATGTGGAGAATGGACCTTGTGTGGGGTACTGCTGATGGGAATGTAGAATGGTTCAACCCATGGAAAAGACTACCATAGTCCTTCAAATAGTAATAATGAATTGTGCCATATGAGTCATGCAATTCCTTCTGGGTATGTACACCAAAGAATTGAAAGCAGGGACTCAGGCATGTATTTGTCCTGTGTTCATAGCAGCATTACTCACAATAGCAAGGTGGAGGCAACCCAAGTGTCCGTGGATGGTCAGTGGATGCTACAGATGTCATCTGTACTACAATGGAATATTATCATTATTATCTATTATTTGACACGAGTCTTGCTCTGTCGCCCAGGCCGGAGTGCAGTGGCATCATCTTGGCTCACTGAACCTCCCACCTCTTGGGTTCAAGCAATTCTCCTGCCTCAGCCTCCCCAGTAGCTGGGACTATAGATGTGCACCATCATGCTGGGGATAATTTTTGTATTTTTAGTAGAGAATGGGATTTCGCCACGTTGGCCAGGCTGGTCTCGAACTCCTGAACTCAAGCGATCTGCTTGCCTTGGCCTCCCAAAGTGCTGGGATTACAGGCATGAGCCACTGCACCCGGCCAACAATGGATACTGTTGAGCCTCAAAAGGAAGGAAATTGTGACACATCCCACAGCTTGGATGAGCCTTGAGGACATATGCTAAATGAAATAAACAGTCACAACAGGACAAGTACTATATGAGTCCAGGTATATGAGGTACTGAGTGGTCAGATTCATAGAGAAGTAAAATGGTCGCTGCCAGGCTTGGGGAGGGAGGGGATGGGTTGTTGCTGTTTAATTGGTATGGAGTTTCAGGTTGGGGGGTAACGTTCTGGAGAATGGATCATGGCAAAGCTTACACAATGACGTGAGGGTATTTAATGCCACTGAATTATACACTTAAAAATAATTAAAACTGTTAATTTGATGTCAACTTCATCACAGTTTGTTTTTGCTTTTGAGATGAAGTTTCTCCCTGTTGCCAGGCTGGAGTGCCGTGGCGTGATCTTGGCTCACTGGAACCTCTGCCTCCCAGGTTCAAGCGATTCTCCTGCCTCACCCTCCCGAGTAGCTGGGATTACAAGCACGCATCACCATGCCCAGCTAATTTTTGTATTTTTAGTAGAGATGGGGTTTTACCATGTTGGCCTCCTTCTTAATTTTTTGACCTCATGATCTGCCTGCCTTGACCTCCCAAAGTGCTGGGATTACAGGCATGAGCCACTGTGCCCAGCCCTCATCACAGTTTCTATTTTTTGTTTTTATTTTAATTGTTTTAAAAATCTGACCAAACCTTTGGTCACCCTGACTGGATGTAAACTATCCTGAGTGCCACTCCTGGGCCCTCAGGTCTGGCCTGGTCCCGCCACTTCTCTGTCTGTGTCTCTTCCAGTAGAGGCCCTGTCATGTGCCATTCCAGCCCTGGCACAAGAGACAGCTTGGTGGGAAAGAAGGGACACAGGCTTTGGGTGCAGACAGAATCAGAATTCAGACTGCTCACCAAAACCCGTCCTCTCACACTTGCCAGCTCTGTGCCTGGGCAGATGATTTAGCCTCTGTGGCGGTTTCTTTATTTATATCTTGAGGAAGGTCCTCTGTGAGGGTTCAACAAGATAAGGAGCCCCATTCTGTGCCAGGCACCGAGAAATAGTGTTTGTTTTGGGGATTTTTTTTTTAATGTTCATTCTTTGCCCTTCAATGAACATGTGTGGATTTATTTAATTTTTAAGAGTTCTCTTTAGCAGACACTATTCCTGCCATTATTTCCATGTGGTCTCCTTTTCCTCTGAAAGAATACTGATATGGGCCAAGTGACTTGGGTATTTCTACCACCACATGGCAGGTTCCTGAGATAACAAGTCGACACCATCGTAGGAAATTTTCATAAGAACCTGCCATTTTCACATTCCTTAGGTCAAATTATTATTGATCTAAATCATCCTTTTCTCTGCCCTAAAATAATCTTCTTCAACAACTCCTGATATGTTAATCCTTTCCAAAAGAGAGGTAAGGGTTAATTTAACAGATTTGCCAGCAACCGTGTTGTATTAATCCACGGGCACTCTGGGGGTGTGGACAGCATGTATACCCCTGACAATTACAGTAGTACCATGTCTGCCTGTATTTACATCTCGATGACGGAAGACTGGGAATGTCCAAAGTCAGACTTCCTAAGGAATTCACGATTTGGTAGGATTTATTGTAGTGTGTGTACATATATCTTTTGGTGTGTTCCGCCATGTATTATATTGTTAGTCATTCTGTTTTTGATAGTTGTAGGGAAGAGATAAGATGCTCTAATTTTCTATTATGTTTATCAGATTATTTTGCCGTTTTAAAATATATTAACCGGGAGGCCAAGGCAGGCGGATCACGAGATCAGGAGTTCGAGACAAGCCTGACCAGCATGGTGAAACCACGTGTCTACTGAAAATACAAAAATTAGCCGGGCGTGGCAGCATGAGCCTATAATCCCAGGTACTCAGGAGGCTGAGGCAGGAGAATCACTTGAACCCAGGAGTCGGAGGTTGCAGTGAGCCAAGATCGTGCCATTGCACTCCAGCCTGGGTGTTAGAGCAAGACTCCGTCTCTCTCTCTCCCTGTCTGTGTGTCTCTCTCTCCCTCTATCTCTCTCTCCCTCCTTCCCTCCCTCCCTCTCTCCCTCTCTCCCTCCCTCTCTCTCTCTATCTCTCTCTCTCTCTATATATATATATGAAGTTTTTTTTAACCTTTCATTTTTTAATTTTTTTTTGAGATAGGGTCTCACTCTGTTGCCTGACAGTTGTGCAATCATGGCTCACTGCAGCCTCAACCTCCTGAGCTCAAGTGATCCTCCCACCTCAGCCTCCTCAGTAGCAGGGACTACAGGCTCACACCATCATGCCTGGATAATTTTTTTTTTTTTTAATTTTAGGAGATGGGGTTTCCCTGTGTTGTCCAGGCTGGTCATGAACTCCTGGGCGCAAATGATTCTCCTGCATCAGCTTCTTAAAATACTTGAATTATAGGCATAAACCACCATGCCTGGCCTATGTGGGTGCTTTTAAGATGTGTTTTTATTTCCTAAGATATTTGTGCTCTGGTGATTTGTGTTTAATAGAGACTAATATTTCATTTTAATTAGTTTTGAAATAACAAATTATAATCAGCTGAAATTAAGCACAAGCTTAAGGTCCACTCGTTTGTTCTCCCTGGTCTTTCTTGCTCTTGTATGAGCTTCTGCCACACTGGCTGGCTGGGAGAGGAAGAGGCACTTGGCCTAAGAAATGTCTCGGCCTGGCCGAGGCTCTTTTCTTGACCACTGCATTGACTGGTCACCGCATGAGAGGGGATCTTCCCTTGGAAACCTGGCTCTTCTGAAGTACTTCTCTTACTGCTTGGGAGTCACTTTTTTGAGTGTGTGTGTGTTGGTTGGGTGTGGGGGGCGGTTTCCAGATGGAGTCTCAGTCTGTCACCCAGGCTGTAGTGCAGTGGCGTGATCTTGGCTCACTGCAACCTCCGCCTGCCGGGTTCAAGCAGTCCTGCATCACTCTCCCAAATAGCTGGGATTACAGGCACCTGCTACCATGCTGGCTAATTTTTGTAGTTTTAAGAGGGACAGGGTTTCGCCATGTTGACCAGGCTGGTCTTGAACTCCTGACCTCAGGTGATTCCCCCACCTCGGCCTCCCAAAGTGCTGGGATTACAGGTGTAAGCCACCATGCCCTGCCCTCGTGTTCCTTTTTACAATTCAGTTCCATACTGTTACGTTTGAACATAGGGTCACCAGAGACCCGAGACATCGTGGGTTTATGCTTCAGGTGTCGTCACAGCTGTGTGTGACTGCAATGAATATAGGACATTTCACAAATAAAATGACCTCTTCCCTCTTCTTTCTCATCTGTTTTCAGTCACTGCTTCAAGCACCTGTGAGAAATTAGAAAAAGCCAGGAATGAGTTACAAACAGCGTATGAAGCATTTATCCAGCAGCACCAGGCTGAAAAAACAGAACGAGAGAATCGGCTTAAGGAATTTTACACCAGGGAGTATGAAAAGCTTCGGGACACTTACGTTGAAGAAGCAGAGAAGTACAAAATGCAACTGCAAGAGCAGGTCTGTGCTTTTGCAGCCAGAGCTTGTCTGAGGCCTCTGCTGCTTACTTGAATCCTGATTGCTATTCACATCCTTGATGAGCTTCTCTTTGTTTTTTAGTCTAATAGGTATGAAAAGTATGTTACTGTTGTTTATTTAAGACAGAGTCTCACTCGGTTGCCTAGGCTAGAGACTGGAGTACAGTGGCTTGATCTTGGCTCGCTGCACCCTCCGCGCCTCCTGGGTTCAAGTGATTCTCCTGCCTCAGCCTCCTGAGTAGCTGGGACTGTAGGCACCCACCACCATGCCCAGCTAATTTTGTATTTTTACTAGAGATAGGGTTTCACCATGTTGGCCAGGCTGGTCTCGTACTCCCAACCTCAGATGATCCACCCGCCTCGGAAACAATGTCTTTTTAATTGAAGAGTTTTCCTATGACCAAAGCAATGTATGTATGTTAAGTGAAAGAAGGGAAGAAAAGGAGGAGGAAAAGATAAAATTGAAAAACAACCCTTTCTTTCTACCCAGAAATAATCCCTTATAAACATCCTGGTGTTGTTTGTTTTACATCCTGCCAAACTATTGTTTTACATGTTTTTTTTTTTTTTTTTTTAGTGGCATTTGTTTAAATACCCCATTTTTTTTCACTGAATAGAATATCAAACCTTTCTAATTTCATAGCTCCCTTATTAACTCAGTTTTTCATTTAGTAATTATCTGCAGAGTGCCTACTCCAGGCCAGGTACGTGCTAGGACCTGAGTGGTCAAATGACAGGCGCAGAGCATGTGGCCCTGTCACTGTAAAACATATCCTCTTTCCTGGTCATCCCTTGTGGCTGATGCAGCCATTTCCATCCGTCACTCTGGAGAGCCTCTGTGTCTGTGTTCCTGAGGGTAGGGAAAGAGACAGAGGAGAGCTGAGTGGTGAACCCCAGTTGGGTTGCTCTTTATGCATTCTTTGTGTGTGTCTAGAGACAGAGTCTTGTGACATTGCCCAGGCTGGACTAGAACTGCTGGGCTCAAGTGATCCTCCACCTCTGCCTCCCGAGTGCTGAGGTTACAGGTGTGAACCACTGCCCCGGCCTTTGTATGTGTTGGGGAGCCTTTAAACTAGAGCCCAAGTTTACCTGGGAAGCTGTGAAGTCTCTTGATGTGGTTGCTTTGCTTATTCCACTTAGGACATTTGGTTTTACTGTTAAACCACGGTTTTGTTTGTTTCTTACAGTTTGACAACTTAAATGCTGCCCATGAAACCTCTAAGTTGGAAATTGAAGCTAGCCACTCGGAGAAAGTTGAATTGCTCAAGAAGGCCTATGAAGCCTCCCTTTCAGGCAAGGATGCTTTTTTTCCTCTTTAAACAGAATAAAATCTGAAGGAACCACCTGATATGTTTTAAGATGGAAATGAGTCTTAACTCTGCTTCAGCAAATGCCCTGTGGTGTTCAGGGCGGGGTGTTCTTGGTTCCTTTTTGCATTGTTCATTGTTAACAGATGCCTTTTCCCACTAAGGATGCAAATAATAGTGACAAATGCCAGCCTTGTGTTAAATAGAATGGGCTTCGGAAGATTGTAAAGGCTATTTTGGGGATGGTGGTTGCCAGCTTAGGTTCCTGGGAAGTTGAAACCTTCTATCTTGTAATCTACGGTAAAGGATCCACCCCAAGTGCTCCTGCACAGCAATGGAGCTGTGAAATGTCGGTGTCACTTACTGAATAGAAAAAGAGTCTTTTCTATTTTTCGTCTTTCATCAGTGCAAGGGTGTAAGCCACTGCCTTCAGAACAGAATGGGCAGTGTCGCTCACAGTCTTTCTGCTAAACCAGTTGCACCTTACAGGGCAGCGTGGACGTGTGCTGGGAACCGGCTGTGTGACCATCAGCAAGGACTTTCTCACCAGAGAAATCAGAGTTGCCCACAGTCAGGCAGAGATGATAATGTGTAAAAGTGACTGGCTCCGGGCACACTTTTAGGAAACATTGTTTTTCTTCCTTCCTGCTAGAAATGAGTGTAATTATAGACTTACGTTTAGGTCATGAAGAGGAAATTCAAGAGAGCACGGGGTTTCCAGACCAGGAGTCTGGAGTGGCATTTATGAGAGCCTGCCCTGAAATGGCACGCAGTGTTTTCCTAAGGTCGCATGGCCTCTGTGGGCCTTGGTGGGCCTCAGTGCTCTCAGTCATAAAATGGGAGTGTCTTCCCTACCGACCTCTCAAGGCTACTTTGAGAACAGATGGCCAATTTACATAAAAGCATACCATAGATGTAAAGTAACATCATATGGCTTCCTCGTCAACCCCTGCATCTATATGCTTTCACCGTTGTGGAGTACATTGATCTTATAGAATGTTATTGTCTCAAAAATATCCTCTTATCTTCCCAGAAATTAAGAAAGGCCATGAAATAGAAAAGAAATCACTTGAAGATTTACTTTCTGAGAAGCAGGAATCGCTAGAGGTGGGTGAATGCCAATATCCCAGCATCCCCCACAAAAAAATTATCATTTTTGATTTTGTTTGGTTTTAATGTTTCTGTGTACGTACGCTGAGTTTCTGGGGTCTTCTTGTTAACTTATGTTCCACATTTCATTGTTTTGTGTTTTAGAAGCAAATCAGTGATCTGAAGAGTGAAAATGATGCTTTAAATGAAAAACTGAAATCAGAAGAACAAAAAAGAATAGCAAGAGAGAAAGCAAATTTAGTAAGTTGTGTGTGCTCCTTGATCAGGATGGAATTTTTCTTCTTAATTGCCTTTTAGAGTCATTGAAGTACTCAGCAGTCAGAGAAATAACACAGGTTTGGAATCCTTTTCATGTCTGGCAACGTGCTTTCTAAGGTGTGTAAAAGAGCTTCTTTGCTTACTGGTGTCTTGTTTTACCATCCTAAAAGCTGACATACAGATGAAGTCCAGGATGTTTCTGGTGGTCTAAGCTAATACTACAGAAAAGGAAGGAAACTGAAACTGCCAATTAGGATTAGGGTTTTATGTCAACACTTTTATTTTTTAAAAAAAAAATCACTGTATTGAGATATAATTTACAAACTACAAAGTTCACTCTTTTTTTTGTTTGTTTGTTTTGAGATGGAGTCTCACTCTGTCACCCAAGCTGGAGTGCAGTGGCACAGTCTTGGCTCACTGCAACCTCCGACTCCCTAGTTCAAGCAATTCTCCTGCCTCACCCTCCCGAGTAACTGGGATTACAAGCACACGTCACCATGCCCAGCTAATTTTTGTATTTTTAGTAGAAACGGGGTTTCACCATGTTAGCCAGGAAAAGTTCACTCTTTTTAAAATGTAAAATTCAGTGGCTTTTAGTATATTCATAAAGTTGTCCATTGGTCACCAGTACTTCATTCTAGAACATTTTTATTACCCCCAAAAGGAACCCTGGACCTGTTAGCAGTCACTCCCCATTTCCCCTAAATTCCCCAGCACCAGGCTATCCCCAGTGTACTTTCTATCTCTATGGATTTACTTATTCTGAGGAATTAATACAAAAGGTTGATTGTACAACATGTGGTCCTTTAAGACTGGTATCTTTTACTTAGTATAAAGTTTCCAAGGTTCATCCGTGGTTTAGCCTATCTCAGTATTTCATTTCTTTTTATGGATGAATAATATTTCATCATATGGATAAATGTCACTTTTGAAAAGTACAAATCTCTTGGAAGCTGAAATTTCTGTTGGCACATTTGTCCTTTCTCCCCTGCCTTCCTCCAACCTTTTTTTATCTTTTTGAAAAAAATTTTTTTCCTGGCTACTTCTGCCTTTAGTACCACCATTTTCATTCCATGTTATGCTCTGGGACTGCTGAAGCAAGCTTTTCTCCACTTAAATCTCTGGCCAGCTCTGCAAGTACATATGTGGATCTCTCAGTGAGACCTTCTGCTAGTAATCTCACTGGGAGACCCTCTAGCTATTTGATAATAGTAGATGAGCTTATAGTCAAAGAAACTTCCAAGCTATTTATTCTAGAAGATTCTTAGGAAGAGTCAGTGATTTCAGACGAAATCTAGACTTATATATATGCAGGGATATGCAGGGTGTAAACCTTACTGATGGCTCAGGAAACAGGTTTGAAAGAGCCTCCGGTACACAAAGGGGATTCTTCTACTGCAGCTGCTTTTGAAAAGCTAAGGCAGAGTCAGACTAAGGAACACAGAACCATCCAACTGCTTCTGCCACGTAAGCATGCTGAGGCTGTGGAAAAAGAGAGCGCGTCTGACTGTAGTCCAGGAGAAAGGGACTGGCTGGCAGACGAGGCGGAGAAAATGCAGAGGGTACAAGTCTTGTAAATGCTCTAATTCTAAAACTGACGGTAAGTTATGCCTTTCCCTCTAACAAAAATGAGGTAGGATTCACTATTTTCAAGGTTAAAAAAAAATCCTATGTACAAGGATAACACTGTATAAAATGTATGAAATTTTACAATTGATACTTAGTATTTGTATGTATTTACGGGGTACATGTGATGTGCTGAGACAATCATAGACTGTGTAATGCCCAAGTCAGGGTATTTAGGGTATCCGTCATCTGTATCATTTCTTTGTTTGGAACGTTTCCTATCTTCTCTTGTAGCTATTTTGAAATACACAATATATTAACTATAGTCACCCTGCTGTGTTATTGAACACAGAACCTACTCCTCTCTCTATCTGCATGTTTGTATGCATTCACCAGCCTCTCCTCATCCCACCCCCACACCTACACGCGCATACCTCTCCCAGCCTCAGGGAACTATCTAAAGAACCTAGAGGTGAAGATCTGAGTATTAGTCCCTGCCCTGACCCTTTCCAGCTCTTTCCTCATCTTTCCTGAGTAGGTCGCGTAACCCGTGCAACATGTTTCCTCTTTCTGTGTGAAGTAAGGGGTTTGGATTAAGTAATCCCCGAACGCCCCTTCCTGGATTCTCCCTAAGGATTTGTCCAGAGCAGGAACCACTGCCCCGGCAGATAAGCTGGATGAGCCACACCGCTGACTCTTATCTAAGAGGTTCCTTCGTTAAACATATCTGATCAGTGGACCTTAGCTGTTCTTCTGTAGCATAAATTTTGGATGGTTTAGTTGAATTTCCATGAATAAAGCAAGGAGTGGGTGGGCGGTGGTGAGGAATCCACGTTAATGGTGTGCTCTCAAAGGACGCCTCCCCTGATGTAGCGTTTATTTTGGAGAGTTTTCTGTTTTTGAGACAGGGTCTTGTTCTGCCACCAGGCTGGAATGCAGTGGTGCATTCACAGTTCACTGCAGCCTTGACCTCCCGGCTCAGTTGATCCTCCCACCTCAGCCTCCTGAGTAGCTGGGACTGTAGGCGTATGCCACTATGCCTGGCAAACTTTTGTAATTTTTGGACAGAAATTTTAGTAGGCTATGTACTCCATGCCGTGTAGGTACTGGGGTGTCACAATATAAAATGATAGTATTATGTCTGCCCTAGAAGTATGGCCCGGTCAGCGTAGCTCCATCATAACAAAAATCCACAGACTCAGGATGTCGTTACCTCTGTTGTTTTCCAGAGAGCGGTATAATGCACTGCTTTTTCTTTCCTGATCAGTTTGTTTGGTAGGAGAGAACTGTTGTTCCCTTTTCTCCTGGCAAATGCCAGTAACTGTCTTACTGCCTTATCTCCAGCCAAGATTCTGTTTTGTATGTAAGCAATAGTTTTTCTCTTGACTACAATAACATGTGTGATGCAACTCACGTTTTTGCATATTAACCTACTGATAAATGAGTGAAATGTTTGTTTTCAGTATTAGGACCAGTCTTTGACTTAAGGTGCTCTTCTTTTTCACCTCTTTCTTTGAAATTCCTCTAAGATGAGGAACATCTGTCTCTTACTGCTTGTCTAATGTCTAAATCTAATCAAAGATTCTTTAAGAATTTGAACTATGTGAGTGTGTGGAATAAGAGCAGTATCTTGCTGTGTCCTTTCCAGAAAAATCCTCAGATCATGTATCTGGAACAGGAGTTAGAAAGCCTGAAAGCTGTGTTGGAGATCAAGAATGAGAAACTGCACCAACAGGACATCAAGTTAATGAAAATGGAGAAACTGGTATGTTTCCTTCAGAATGAATGAGGATCTTACAAATCGGGTAATATCTATGAAATTGTGCCCTGCATTTTAGAACTATGGAGTTAACTGCTCCTGAAGATATTTAGAAATTAGACGAAAGATAGAGTTTACATTTTCTTTGCCAAGTTTGTTCAATATTTATTCATGGCTGCCTCCTAGAATGTTTTCTTTTTCAAGGAACATGTAAAACAGCGCCCAGTCCTTGGAAAAACTACAACAAACAAATCAGGCTTATAGTTCAGTGGTATGTTGAATCTTCACCTGCTTAAGAAAAGTGTTTAAATATCTATGTAAAATCAGTACTTTAATATACCACCCACCCTGGACAGGTTTCTCAGGTCTAAAGCAGTTGGATATGTTTAATAGAAATCAATCCCAGTGAAGCCATACGATCAAAATTCTTCGTCTTGCTTCTTGTGAATTAGCGTGTGATCAAAGAATTATGGGCTGGGCGCAGTGGCTCATTCCCGTAATCCCACAGTTTAGGGAGGTTGAGGCAGGCGGGTCACTTGAGGTCAGGAGTTCGAGACCAGCCTGGCCAACAATGGTGAAACCCTGTCTCTACTAAAAATATAAAAATTAGCAGGGTGTGGTGGTGGGTGCCTGTAATCCCAGCTACTGGGGAGGTGGCGCCACTGCATTCCAGCCTGGGTGACATAGCAAGACTCAGTCTTAAAAAAAAAAAAAAAAATTGTACTATAATAAGATTAATCCATTTGAACAAATAGCAAGTGTTACCAAAACTATGAATAACATTCAGTTTGCAGTCTCTAGGACAGAGAATGATGTTAGTGTATGAGGAGTCTGCCCAGAACCGTGTGTGCGTGTGGCATGTTCAGTGTTCAGCATCAGTCTTGGTCCGGCCCTGAAACACAACTGCTGCCAGCCAGGACTCTAACCAAGCTGGCAGAGCTTGGCAAGGCAGCTTAAGTGATCCCAGCCCTCGCGGTGCCTTGCTGTTGACCGTGCAACTGCCGCGTGCTGCTGGCCTCTTCTCCCCACATGATAAGTGACTCAGGCTTCAAGTGCCTCATTCAAACCCAAACCAGACCTGGACAGTAGGGGGCACGGGGAACCTCTCTACTGTTTGGTTTGTGTTGGTTTGGGGTTTGGTTTTCTCCTGGAGACTATGATTTCTGTTGAGGGAGGTAACAGCCAAGCCCCTGTGTGGATATACAAGCACTTTGAATTACCAGGAAATATTTATAAAGGAAGGAAAGGAACTCATGGTTGTTAATGGGCCCAACCTAGTATACATACCAGTTCCTGCCAAAGGTCGTCCTGTTCCAACAAGTCTGGTATCTTCTAAATGGTAGTCAGAGGTGGCTCAGATAATCCTGTTAATAGTCGTTCCATATGCCATTCATGCCTCGAAACTTTCAAAAAATCATGTGCAATAGAACAGACTATGCTGTAAACTTAACGACACATTTAATTTGTGTTGATCTAGTATTTGTTTCTTGCCATGCCCCAGAGGTATCCTGATAATCTCTGTCAGCCTTGCATTGTGTACGTGTGGAAAAATGGGTTGACACAGTGACAGGGAAACCCACCATTCCCTTCATATTTGTAAATGACAGGCCTCTGATGAAATGAAGAGAGCAGCACAGGAAGTTTTCTAAGATGACTTTCCCATGAAACTAGCACCGCCCATCATCAGCTCAGTGACATGATCAGGACTGGTTTCCCTAGGAGGAGATAATAAAGGACAATACCTCCCAGTCTCGAATTCCAGGGTTTTTCCCACATTGTTTTATCTGGGATTCCTTCATCATTACTCAATGTTTAGGCTCATTTTCTGGAAAGTCATTTCACCCGAACGGCTTGCGGTGCGCTGCTTCTGGATAATAGGATGTCTTAAGAACAACCGGGCTCCGAACTAAGCACCACACTCAAAGTGCGTTAGTCCTGCTACAAGGACAAGGGGCTTAGACTTAATTCTGATGGACCTATAATATTACCTCTTCATAAAACCTTACCTTTAGAAAGTGAGTGGGGGATGGAGGCAGGTCTTCATCATGTTAAGTGATTCAATGTCCTCAGGCATCTTATCCTTTCATCTCTCAGCTGATCAATCTGTTTGCCTTGAAAGTTCAGCCTGCACAGGCCAGCAGGAGAACAGACCTATCTTCAGCTGACCTGACCTGTTACTTCTTTGATGGGATGCTCTAAGAGCTCTGTCCAATGACAGCTTTGTGTGGCCACTCAGAGGCAAATGCTGAAGAATTACCATGAAACTGAGTTCAAGTCCATAGTAAACATTGCCAGGGACGTTGAATTGTTGGCCTGTGAGTTTTCATCAGACGTGGGAATCTCTTTTTCTTTCTTTCTGCAAAATTCACTTCATAAGAAGATACATAAGCTTTGATAAGTGTGGGCAGTGTGGCTGCAAGGTTTGTTTCACATTGAAACAGAAAGAGGCACCAATTCTTAGAGAATTCCAAAACAATGTGGCCTGGAACAAATCTGTTCCCCACTTGTGTCAATATTGAAGTGGCCTTGCGTACATGTTTTAAAAATACCCAGCCGCTCTGTTTTGCTGTTTCAAAATCTTTTTCAGTATGTTAGTGTATAAATATTTTAATATAGTATTGCATTTTCCTTAATTAAATCTCCCAAGTGTGCTTATGTCATGAGGTGCCTTAAGAAATGAGATGTTTTTTTAATATTGTATAAATGTGGGAATTCTTGTTTGTGCCAAGGTGGACAACAACACAGCATTGGTTGACAAATTGAAGCGATTCCAGCAGGAGAATGAAGAATTAAAAGCTCGGATGGACAAGCACATGGAAATTTCAAGGTAAAAAGAAAACAATGCCGTTTCTCCTGAGCTCCCCCTCCCTTGCACATCCAATGCACTTTCTGGACACGCTCTACCCCTGCACCTCCTGGAAATAGGATGGAAGCAGATGGTTGAAGGGGCATTGATTTCTTTCTGGAAAATGTGATGGTAATGGTTCATGCTTTTACCAAAGCGGCCTGGACTATACACTGAGACCCAGGCCAGCAAGCCTGCTGCCACGGCCTCTGGCTGCCTCTGAGAATGCTTTCAGACAAAAAGCAATACAAAACCAAATAGAAAACAGCCCCCAGCATAAGACAGTCATAAAACATGTTGAATATTTGCAAAAGTGGCACTCAGCCTACTATGAAATTGCCCAAAAAGTAGAGTTACTATATTTTTTTGAGATGAGGTCTCACTCTATTGCTCAGGCTGCAGTACGGTGGTGGGATCTTAGCTTACTGCAGCCTCCACCTCCTGGGCTCAAGCAATCCTCCCACCTCAGCCTCCTGAGTAGCTGGGATTACAGGCACATGTCACCATGCTTGGCTAATTTTTGTATTTTTAATAGAGACAGAGTTTTGCCATGTTGCCCAAGTTGGTCTCGAACTCCTGGCCTCAAGTTATCCACCCACCTTGGCCTCCCAAGGTGCCGGGATTACAGGCATGAGCCACCAAGTCCGGCCTGTGTTTGTGTTTCTTAGCCAGCCAAATACCTGTGACCTTGTGCAGGATTCTGTTTTATCCCAAAGGAATAATTTTGGACTTCAAAATTTCAAATGCTAAGAAAAGCTTTTCAAGTTATTTTTTTTACATAGATGTACATGGTTTCTGGCTTTTTTTTCTCCAAGGCAACTTTCCACGGAGCAGGCTGTTCTGCAAGAGTCTCTAGAGAAGGAGTCGAAAGTCAACAAGCGACTCTCCATGGAAAACGAGGAGCTTCTGTGGAAGCTGCACAATGGGGACCTGTGTAGCCCCAAGAGATCCCCCACGTCCTCTGCCATCCCTTTCCAGTCACCAAGGAATTCGGGCTCTTTCCCCAGCCCCAGCATTTCACCCAGATGATGCCTCCCCCAAAGTCCACAGACTCGCTGAAAGCATTTTGATACAGGTCTGCAGGACTGACCCCAATGAGGAACGTGGGCACAGAGGTATATCAGCACACGTGTGATCACCGTAGGATAACTGGAGCGTCACCGCCGCCGGAATCAGCAGCTTCTGAGACTGGAACTCTGGAGGAAGACTTTTGCTTCCATCCAAAAGATTCCTCCAAAAAAAGATTTCGGCATCGACACGGACGTTGTTGCACAAAGCACTTAAAGAACGAGAGCATCTTGTTCATTGCCTTTTTCACCTAAGCATAGGGGGAAAAACTCTCAGGGGCCTATTAAGATAAAGATTTATAACCTTTGTAATGTCCTTCTCCACAGACACCTTCTTGTGAGCTTTTAGTCTGACTGTGGGGGTGGGGGGGTGTGAATGAAATGGATGTCACAGAGTGTCATGTGTCTGATGCAGCCGCCTCTGCTGTGTATTAAATGTCAAAATCTGAATATATCTGGATATGTACTAATCAAATAATCAGCATATACATTTCAGCCAAAGCCATAGAAGAAAAAGCAATAGTTGCTTGAATTATGATCATCTACCACCAACTCTGCTCAGCCCTGTAACAGGGCAGGGAGAGGGTATAACAGGGAAAGCTGTGACTTGTCCCTATCTATCTATACATTCTCTGTACCTTTTGGGGGTAACTTCTTGGCAGTTTTTCAGTGTTCAGCCATGTCAGTGGAAACTAGATTTTTCTGTAGAGTTTTTACTTACTTACCCATGTGAGCCTAACACTATCCTGTTATTCGTTTTCTCAGGCTAGTGTAAATGTAGAATCCTAATTTTTCTATTAAAAAAAAAAAAAACTGTAAAAAGAAAAAGGGCAGTACCAATGCGTTTTTCCACCTTATTTTTACCTTGATCTATCCTTGCAGATTTAACCTGTCTTCTTCTCTCCCATTATTTTCATTTTCCTTTTACCTTTCTCCACCATCCAGAGCCACAAAAGCAAACCTTCTACCTCCTACGTACGTTTCTCTGGGATAAGGATAAAGGAATATGATTTTCCAGAGCCCCAGAGCCAGCTCATCTTCCAGGTGCTGAAACCACTTTCCAAATAAACTAAAGCCTGGATTTGACACTACAGATTTTGGGAAATCTTAGAATAAAGAATGAGAAAAAGGAAGTCATTGGGCTAGTATACTTAAGAAAGGTAGGATTCAGTGCTTACCGATGATGCAGTATTTGATAGAAGAAAACAGTCTGGGAGGATCACACTCCTTTTTCAGGTTCCCTTTGAGGAGTCCCTCTGTCTTTAGTAGCAGAATGGCCCGCTGACGAGCGGAAAATGTGGCTTGTCCAACTCTCCTCCAAGTTGCGTTTCAGTTTCTTTCCAAAACTTATTACCTCCCTAACTAACTGTGAGACTTTGGAAAAGGTGGAAGGAAGAAAGAACTGTTGCTTTATCTCCTACTCCCTGCATGTGTCAACATTGTGATGTCAGTATTTACTAATCAACCTTCAGTGGCTGTACAAATAACCGCTGTAGGAAGAAGAGATCCAGGATACTAGAGGTGGATATTTGGGTCATTTACTTTGTACACTACATAGCAAGTTGATACTCACATTGCATGTTCTTTTAAATTAGTGGCTGTGTGTCTTAAGTCTTTAACTTCCAATAGTTTATCATGTATGTAACCTTCCATGTTTGCTTCTGATAAATGGAAATGTAGAGTCACTGCCACTTCCTGGGATATTTCTGCTCACGCTTCCAAGTTCTCAATGACATTAGCCAAAGTTGGGTTTGCCATTCATCCCCTACACATGGTAAATCTTGTGTTGTTCCCTGCCATCCTCCGTATTATGTGACTGGGAAATAAATCTCATAGCAGTTAATATAAGACGTCTTCCGAGGATGGCAGAGAACAGGAGAGAAGATAGGAAACAAAATAGAGAATTTTTAAGATTTTGTTTAAACCAAATGTTTCATGTAGAATGCAAAATGTTGGCACGTCAAAAATATGGATGTGTAGACAACTGTAGTTGTGCTCAGTTTGTAGTGATGGAAAGTGTATTTTACTTTGATCAAATAAATAATGCTGGAATACTCAAGAATTGCATCCTCTGACCTACTTCATTCTTCAAATTCTTCAGTTTTACATTCTTCAAATTTATAGCCCTTTGACAGCACAGTAAAGATTGTATCTCCTCTTAGTTTATTTCCCAGGAATTTCCACTGCAACCACATAATTGGTCATGGGTTGAACCTTGGCTCACAGAGCTAGAGTTAGGGCTAAGCTCTTCTTTTCTAAATTCAAAGCTATCTGTGTGTGTTTGAGAAATAAATTTTGGCTGATTTTAACAATTTCTGCTATGTAAGAAAATTGGACAAACTTGGTAAATATTTTTGAATATGGTAAAAAAAAGTCTAAAAGTTGAATGTTCTCAACCTATGCATCTGTTTCATATTGAAAGCTAAACTTCTAAAAACATGCTGTACTTATTGAATAGACTAATCTAGAATTAGTACCCTTGAGTGCAGCAGTTTAAAAAGATGAAGCATACATGATTTTTTTCAATACCTTCATAAATTAACTCACGTTTGCTTTAAAGTTGCTACTAAGACAAAATGACATTTCTAAGCATTTGAATCTGGAGTTGTTGCTTGTGGATAAGTAGTTGAACTGTATCTAGAACATTTTAAAATTCTAATACATTGTGGTGGTGATAAAAAGAGAATACTTGGTACTGACCCACCTATCACCACCACCAAGTCTTTTTGGATAGACTTTAAGCCAACTTAACAAACACTTATCCCACTTTGTATTCTTTACAAAAACTTGTTCATTTAATAGAAATGAGTATATAAAATTGTTTACACATGTATAAAAACTAGGAACACGTATGTAGGTAAGCAATCAAAATACATGCTTTCTGTTAGAAAAGTTAACACTTCTGTGAATAGACTGGATGACTTCCTTTTAGTTTGGATGTCAGGGTCGGACTCAAGATGCTGGGGTTGGGGTTTGGTGCTTGACGTCAGCCTCTGGCAAAGCACTAATAAAAAGTACCCCAAAGCTGACTGTATACACAAATGGGCTTTCCATAAGTTCATTACACTTCCTTTTCCAAGTCAGGAAAACTCAACAGTGGTAGCTACTGTGGTCTGTCCTTGAAGATTCTGAGCAGTGCAAATGTAATATCCTGCATCAATGGTCTCAAAGTCTTCCACTGTAATGACGCTCTGGGAGAGTCTCGTGGTGTGTCCCAGTCCTCTGTGGATCAGCCTCCAAGTGTCTTGGATCGTCACAGGCCTTTCATCCTGTTTAACGACACCCACACAGACTGAAGCACGAGGGACAAGCTGCTATAAACAGCTCCCACTCGCCCAACACTGTTGAGTGTTCCTTTCAAAGAGCAAAGCACATGCTTATAAAAGACTTTAGTATGCATAGCTCATAAGCTGTGGAAGCTTCTACACTGGAATCATTTTAGGCTGCATTTTTTCCAAACAGAGACTTGAATTTCATTACGCTGTTTGGCGCTGTGTGTCTGTCCTTTTCTTCTATAAGTTTTTACTTAATCTAAAATGTAAGCTTTTAGAACTCCAAGAAAGTGGAACTGGCATTAAGCACAAGCAAGGACAAAATTTTCCACTGTCCTCGTTCTTCACATTGCCCATTTTCTTTTCCTAAGTGGTTCTTATCTACAGAATAGAAAGTCAGTAGCCTGAAAACGCAGCCACTGTATAAATGACTAGGAGCTCCCAATTGCTCAGATTTGGGAGAGGGAGAACTATGATTAGGTCAATGTGCCTTAGGACTCCAGTGGGAGAAAAGTTGTACCAAGGATGGGTAAGATAATGTACTAGATGACATGACCCCTATTTCTAGAAAGTGAGATGGTCACTTCTGAGACGTTCAGCCAACTCTGGTGATAAGAACATAGTATTACTCAGTGAATACCTTTTCTCATAAAATACCAAATAGCAATGTAGGAGCGGGGGAAAAAAACAAAAACTAGAAAAAACACCTCTACTGAAAATCATGTATGTCCTGTAAGTATGACCAACACTTTTGATAAGTACCTCGTACCAGGAAGCTGGAAAACACTATTCCCAGGGACAGTTATTTTCTACCAATCACAGCCCGTAGGCCAGAAGGATGTCAGCTACTGAATGTGTCTTGTAGAGGCCAAATCTCTTCTGGCAACAAAGGGATTATTCTGTGCTGGTAGCAGAGCTGTTATTTTAGCAAGCAAAACATGCACAAGGGCTAAATATGCTGCAATTGCTTTTATAAGAAGTCTACTTTAAAATTATCTCTGGCCTCACAGCACCTTTTCGGCATGGTCTATTTCTATGCTCACTTGGGGGATGTCTGCTTACAGCGGCTTGCCATGGGCACAGCTTGTACAGAGAACACTCGAGCCAAGTGAAACACAGCGGTAGAAAGCAGCAGCAGGAAGAGCCCTGTGGGCTGTCTCAGTCCCCAGCATTTCTGACTTTGTCTCACAGAGGTCCTTGAAGAGGGCTACCAGAGAAACGGGCTACCAGAGAAACTGGGAAGAGACCACAGGGAGAAGGAAACTTCTAGCTGAACTTTCTAACAATTTTGACCAAACACAAAGTTTCCTGGACAGAACTCGGGTGAGGGACTGAAGCAGTTGTGCAGACATAGCACAAACTGTGGCAGGTAGCAGGTGTGAAACCTGAAGGCCCTGTTTGCTTTCTTAGCCGGGAGGCTGGTAGCCTGGGGCAAGTTCTCAACCCTGCTCCTCCACTGCCTAGAAACAAACTCTGTGCTGTTGGCAGAGACAGACGGAGTGAGACCAGCCCTTTGGGCTACATGGGAGCTGAGTGAGGCCTGTAACTGCTGGCTTTGTCCCACTTCCCTGGCGACCTGCATGACACAGCAGAGCAGCCCTAATCCCCTGGGGAACATAAATCCATTGGCCTGAGAACCACACCCCCATTCCCAACAGCAGCTATAGCAAGACCCGCCCAAGGAGAGTGTCTGAGCTCAGACACGCCTACCCCGCCGCCACCTAATGGTCTTTTTCTACCCACTCTGGTAGCCGTAGACAAAGGACATAATCTCTTGGAAGCTCTAGGGTCCTACCCACCACCGTTCCTCCCTATACTACTACTGCTAATGCTCTTTAAAGTGCTGCCTCCTGGCAGGAGACCAACCAACACAAAACTAGTACAATAAACAAAACTACAACTAAGGACCCTCACAGAGTTCATCCATTTCACTTCCCTGCCACCTCCATCAGAGCAGGTGCTGGTATCCATGGCTGAGAGACCTGAGACATCATAGGACTCTGTGCAGGCACTACCCAGTACCAGCCCAGAGCCCAGTAACTCTGCTGGGTGACTAGATACAGAAAAGAAATAACAATCACTGCAGTTTGTCTCTCAGGAAGCCACACACATAGGGCAACGGGGAGAGCACTACATCAAGAGAGCACCCCATGGGCAGCAGCCCTTGAGCCCCAGATCTTCCCTCTACCGTAGTCTACCAAATGAGAAGGAACCAGTAAAACAATTCTGGTAATATTTCAAAACAAGTTTCTTTAACACCCCAGAAGATCACACTAGCTCACCAGCAATTGATCCAAACCAAAAAGAAATCCCTGAATTGCCAGAAAAAGAATTCAGAAGGTCAGTTACTAAGCTAGTCAAGGAGGCATCAGAGAAAGGTGAACTCCAATTTAATTAAATCAAAAAAAGACACAGGGTATGAAGGGGAAAATCTTCAGTGAAATAGATATCAAAACCAGAAATTTCTGGAAATGAAGGACACACTTAGAGAAATGCAAAATACACTGGAAAGTCTCAGCAATAGAAGTGAACAAGCAGAAGAAAGAATTTCAGAACTCGAACATCAGATTTTTGAATTAACCCAATCAAACAAAGACAAAGAAAAAAGAATTTAAAAGAATGAACAAAGCCTCCAAGAAGCTTGGGATTATATTAAACAACCAAACCTAAGAATAATTGGTGTTCCTGAAGAAGAGAAATCTAAAAGTTTGGAAGACATATTTGAGGGAATAAACAAAGAAAACGTCCCCAGCCTTGCTAGAGAGCTAGACATCTGAATACAAGAAGCTAAAAGAACACCTGGGAAATTCACCACAAAAAGATCATCCTAGGCACATAGTCATCAGGTTATCTAAAGTCAAGACAAAGGAAAGAATCTTAAGAGCTGTAAGGCAAAAGCACCAGGTAACCTATAAAGGAAAACATACCAGATTAACAGCAGATTCCTCAGCAGAAACCCTACAAGCTAGAAGAAATTGAGGCCCTACCTTCAGCCTCCTTAAACAAAAGAATTATCAGCCAAGAATTTTGTGTCCAGTGAAACTAAGCTTCATAAATCAAGGAGAGATATAGTCTTTTTCAGACAAACAAATGCTGAGAGAATTCACCACTACCAACCTGGCACTACAGGCACTGCTAAAAGGAGCTCTAAATATTGAAACAAATCCTTGAAATACACCAAAAGAGAACCTCCTTAAAGCATAAATCTCACAGGACCTATAAAACAAAAGCACAATAAAAAAAAAAAAAAAAAGTATTCAGGCAACAAATAGCACAACGAATACAATAGTACCTTACATCTCAATACTAATGTTGAATGTAAATGGCCTAAATGCTCCACTTAAAAGATAGAGAATGGCAGAATGGGTAAGAAGTCACCAGCCAAGTATCTGCTGTTCTGAAGAGACTCACCTAACAAATAGGACTCATATAAATCTATCGTAAAGGGGTGGAAAAAGGTATTCCATGAAAAGGGACACCAAAGTGAGCAGGAGTAGTGATTCTTTTTGTTTGTTTTGTCTTTTTGAGACAGAGTCTCACTCTGTTGCCCAGGCTGGAGGGCAACGGCGCAATCTTGGCTCACTGCAACCTCCACCTTCCAGGTTCAAGCGATTCTTGTGCCTCAGCCTCCCGAGCAGCTGGGATTACAGGTGAAGGCCTGTCTTATAGAGGAGTAGCTGTTCTTATATCAGACAGAAAAACTTTAAAGAAACAGAAGTTAAAAAAGACAAAGAGGGACATTATGTAATGATAAAAGGACTTGTCCAACAGGAAAATATCACAATCATATACATATATACACACACACACATATACACACACATACATATATATGTGTACAGATGGATTCACAAATGAATTCTATCAGACATTCAAAGAACTGGTATCAATTCTATCAACACTATTTCACAAGATAGAGAAAGAAGGAATCCTCCCTAAATCATTCTGTGAAGCCAGTTATCACCCTAATACCAAAACCAGGAAAGGACATAACAAAAAAGAGAAAACTATAGACCAACATGTTTGATGAATATAGATGCAAAAATCCATAACAAAATACTAGCTAACCAAATCCAACAGCATATCAAAAAGATAGTCCACCATGATCAAATGGGTTTCATACTGGAGTGGTTTAACATACACAAGTCATTAATGTGATACACCACAGAGAATTAAAAACAAAAAATCACATGATCATCTCAACAGACACGGAAAAAGCACTTGACAAAATCCAGCATCCCTTTGTAAACCCTCAGCAAAATTGGCATAGAAGGGACTTACCTTAAGGTAATGAAAACCATCTATACTGAATGGAGAAAACTTGAAAGCATTTCCCCTGAGAACAGCAAGACAAGGATGCCCACTTTTATTTAACATAGTACTGGAAGTCCTAGCCAGAGCAATCAGACAAGAAAAAGAAATAAAGGCATCCAAATCGATAAAGAGAAGTCAAACTGTCACTGTTTGCTGATGATATAATCATATACCTAGAAAACCCTAAAGACTCCTCCAAAAAGCTGCTAGAACTGATAAATGAATTTAGCAAAGTTTCAGGATACAAAATTAATGTAAACAAATCAGCTCTGCTATCCACCAACAACAACCAAGCTTAGAATCAAATCAATAACTTAACCCCTTCTATAATAGCTGCAAAAAAAAACACAAAACCTCAGGAATACACCTAACCAAGGAGGTGAAAGACCTCTACAAGGAAAACCACAAAACACTGCTGAAAGAAATCATGGATGACACAAGTGGAAACACATCGCATGCCATGGATGGGTAGAATCAATATTGTGAAAATGACCATACTGCCAAAAGCAATCTACAAATTCAACGCAATTCCCACCAAAATACCACCACCATTCTTCACAGAACTAGAAAAAACAATCCTAAAATTCATACGGAACCAAAAAAGAGTCCGCATAGCCAAAACAAGACTAAGTGAAAAGAACAAATCTAGAGGCATCACATTACCTGACTTCAAACTATACTATAAGGCCATAGTCACCCAAACAGCATGGTACTGGTATAAAAATAGCACACAGACCAGTGGAACAGAATAGAGAACCCAGAAATAAACCCAAATACTTACAATTGATCTTTGACAAAGCAAATGAAAACATAAAATGGGGAAAGGACACCCTATTCAACAAACGGTGCTAGGATAATTGGCAAGCCAAATGTAGATGAATAAAACTGAATCCTTATCTTTCACCTTATACAAAAATCAACTCAAGATGGATAAAATACTAAATCTAAGACCTGAAACCATAAAAATTCTAGAAGATAACATTGGAAAAACCTTTCTGGACATTAGCTTAGGCAAAGAGTTCATGACCAAGAACCAAAAAGCAAATTCAACAAAAACAAAGACAGATAGGGCTTAATTAAACTAAAAAGCTTCTGCACAGCAAAAGAAATAATCAGCAGAATAAACAGACAACCCATAGAGTGGGATAACATTTTTGCAATCTATACATCTGACAAAGGACTAACACCCAGAATCTACAAGGAACTCAAACAAATCAGCAAGAAAATAACAATCCCATCAAAAACTGGGCTAAGGACATAAATAGACAATTCTCAAAAGATATACCAAAGTCCAACAAACATATGAAAAACTGCTCAACATCACTAATGATTAAGGAAATGCAAATCAAAACTACAATGTGATACCACCTTACTCCTGCAAGAATGGCCATAACTTAAAAATCAAAAAACAGCAGATGTTGGCATGGATGTGGTGAAAAGGGAACACTTTTACACTGCTGGTGGGAATGTAAACTAGTACAACCACTATGGAAAACTGTGGAGATTCCTTAAAGAACTAAAAGTAGAACTACTATTTGATCCAGCAATCTCATTACTGGGTACCTACCCAGAGGAAAAGAAGTCATTATATGAAAAAGATACTTGTACACATGTTTATAGCAGTACAATTCACAAGCACAAAAAATGGAACCAGCTCAAATGCCCATCGGTCAATGAGTGGATAAAGAAAGTATAGTATATATACCATGGAATACAACTGTGCCATAAAAAGGAATGAAATAATGGCATTTGCAGCAACCTGGATGGAATTGGAGACCATCATTCTAATTGAAGTAACTCACAAATGGAAAACCAAATATGGTATGTCCTCACTGTTAAATGTGAGCTAAGCTATGAGGATGCAAAGACATAAGAATGACACAATTAACTTTGGGGACTCGGGGGGAAAGGATGGGAAGCGGGGTGAGAGATAAAAGCCTGTACATTTGGTATAGTGTACACTGCTCAGGTGATGGATACACCAAAATCTCAGAAATCATCCAAAGAACTTATTCATGTAACCCAACACCTACTGTTCTCAAAAACCTACTGAAATAAAAAAATGACAAAACATATTAAAAACAAAGAGAACATTCTGAAGGACCCCAGGAGGAGGCGAGATTCTAGTTGACCCAGAAGATGGGACTGAAGATTGAGGTGGGGGCAGGAGAAAAGAGTGAGATACTTCATTTCCCTTTCCTCCCAGTGTCCTTTTATTTTTTAAAAAACTTTTATTTAGGTTCAGGGGTATATGTGCAAGTTTGTTATAGAGGTAAACGCATGTCATGAAATGAAAGATCATTTCTTCACCCAGGTATTAATATTCAGCCTGGTACCCCTTAGTTATTTTGCCTGATCCACTCTCTCCTCCCACCCTTTACCCCCAGGTACGCCCCAGTGTGTGTTGTTCCCTTCTTGTCCATGTATTCTCATCATTTAGCTCCCACTTATAAGTGAGAACATGCGGTATTTGTTTTTCTGTCTCTGTGTTAGTTTGCTAAGGATAATGGCCTCCAGCTCCATTTGTGTTCCTGCAAAGGACACGATCTCATTCTTTTTCATGGCTGCATAGTATTCTGTGGTGTCTATGTACTACGTTTTCTTTATCCAATCTACCACTGAAGGGCATTTAGGTTGATTCTATGTCTTTGGTATTGTGAATGGCACTGCGATGAGCATTACTGTCCCTTCTTAGTTAAGGGTTTAAAAACAAAACCCTGCATATGAAGAGGGTACATTGAGCAAACTGACTAATGAAACTCGAATCTTTTATTTCCTGTCCTTAAAAAATTTTTTTTTAATATACTGAAACATCTTCAAAGAAAACAAACAAGCCTTGGCCCCCAACAAAGTCCCACATGTTTCTTGCACTTCTTAAGCTATGGCATGTAGCACTGGGTGGGGACAAAGCTGTGAATTAAAATGGCTGGCTGAGATGCAGTGCTGAGATGCAGGTGCTGAGTATGACACTTACCTTCTGCCCTGGGAAGATCCACGTGAATTCCACCTCCACGTCGGGCTCCCCCAGGACAGTGCAGAGCACACTGACGTCGTCCCCACTTTTCACTTTGTTTGAAGAGGCCAAGATGGTTGTTGAGGGAGGGCCACTGGGAACTAGAAGCAAGCAGGAGACAGGAAGAGTGAGACCCTGAGCGTAACCTCAAAAACAAACCTACACATGCATTCTTTTCTATGGAGGCAAATGGACTTTTCTGCCTTTCTCACAACTTCCCGTCCAGCGCCAAGACGGTGTGAGCCCACCACTTGGGGCTTCCTTTGAAGCCACCTTTACCTGTTGACCTTGGTGGTCTGGAATGGGATTGGCACCAGGACTCCCAGGACAGCCTCCAAGCCTGTGATTAGGTGAGGAGGCTCAGAGGTCCGTCAGGGGTCATGTGAAGAGAATAAAGAGGTGAGGGGGAACAAGTCCTTAGGGAAGAAGCATGTAGGAAGTACTGGGTGGTGGCGTCCATGGGGGTGGCAGGGAGCAGATAAGTGTGTGGCTGTCTATCCGCACAAGAGGAGGAGAAAATCTAAATATACAGATGTGAAAGATGTTTGGGCACAACTGCTACCTGGGTTTGCAGTGCCTTTGCCTCATCATGTTTCAGAAACAAATTTCTTCATTTATGGAGAATTCACTCAACAAGCTATTTATTTAGAAATGGTGTCTCTGCACTTCCCAAAAGAAGACATTTATACAGCCAACAGACCCATGAAAAAATGCTCATCATCACTGGTCTTCAGAGAAATGCAAATCAAAACCACAATGAGATACCATCTTACACCATTTAGAATGGCCTAGATGGCGATCATTAAAAAGTCAGGAAACCACACGGGTGCTGGAGAGGATGTGGAGAATTAGGAACACTTTTACACTGTTGGTGGGATTGTAAACTAGTTCACCAGCATTATGGAAACAGATGGCCGAGTTCCTCAAGATCGTAGAACCTGAAATAACATTTTGACCCAGCCCATTCCCATTACTGGGTTATGATCCCCAAAGAGATTATAGAATCATGCTATATAAACGAACATGCAGCACATATGTTTTTCACTAGTGCACTATTCACAATAAGCAAAGACTTGGAACCAACCAAATGTACCTCAATGACAGACTGGCTTAACAGCCAAAAATGTGGCACACGTGATAACCATGGAATACTATGCAGCCATAAAAAGGAGTGAGTTCATGTCTTTGTAGGGACGTGGATGAAGCTGGACAACCACACCGATCCTCAGCAACACTATCGCAAAGGACCAGAAAACCAAACACTGCATGTCTCCCAATCATACAGGTGGGCCAGATGAACAAATGACAATGTAAATGACCGAGTTATGCGGTGGCAGCACACCAGGATGGCACATGTATACAGTATGTAACAAACGTGCACGTGTGTGCGACATGTAACCTACACGCGAACTACAAGTATAATAATCAATTAAAAAAAAAACGACGAAACTACAGGGTTGTCACAGCCAGGCTGGAGTGCAGTGGCATGATCTTGGCTCACTGCAAGGCTCTGCCTCGCCGGGTTCACGAACCATTCTCCTCGCCTCAGCCTCCCGAGTAGCTGGGAGTACAGGAACCTGCCCAACCAGTGGTCGCACCTTAGCTCTCTGCACGCCTCGAACTCCTCGCATCCTGGAGGAAACGCTTGAAGCCATCCTCCCATCTTAGCCTTCTGAGTAGGTAGGATTACAAGGTATGAGCCACTCGCACCTGGCTAATTTTTCAGTTTT